ACGTTTTGTGAAATACATTTATTTTACTGTTTTAAATTATTATGTTTCATTACAATTAATTACTTTAGTAAAGCAAGTTTATTGCATTCCATTTTACTGAATAAATGCTTACATTTGTCTGAAATGTAAAAGTTATATTAAAATGAACTTTCATAACTTTTCGCTTCTTTAAGTTGAGGAACTGTTTCATGAGTTAGGAAGAACTTTTATCTGCCAAGTTTCAGATACAAGCAGTTAACCTGAACTTATTCGACTTGGAGAAATGTTCAACGAAGCGTCATTCTGTAAAAGACAAAATTTGAACATTATCTAAATTCATCGATCGAATAAAATGTATTTGGGTTCATGTTTTTGTTGTAAGTATACTTAGCTACAAAATTTGTAACACTGATGTAACATTTGAATAAAAAAATCTAATTATATAATAATAACATTGAATTGATTAGCAATCTTCAGTGTTAATAACTAAAAGTCACACTATTTTTAGGCATTATTAATTACAATCCTTTGGCGCGCTTACTTTATAAAGTCAAGTGTCAAAATTAATAGTGAGGGGACATAGATATCGACATTTTAGTAAGGCTAGTGTTGTGCCAGTACACCGGCACACCGGATTTTCTTCCTAACACTATAAACGTTTAGGTAATTTCTAGCATCGTATTAAATGCTTTGGTCTTTATTATTGCAGTGGCAATTTTCAACGTTAGCATGAAGAGCTTTTGAAATACCCTTACACGTGTCCGATGTTAATAGATGAGGCCAACTAGTATTACACGCTCCCATATAACTGAATTAACGTCGTGCCTTCATTCATCAATGTCTATAAGTTTAAGATAAAAGCCGTGATATGATACAGTTGTGTACAGCCCCCACGTCCACTATTTAATAATATGATGTAATAAGCTTAATCTAATCATTATCTATTTAATTATTTTAAAACCTAGATTCGTTTGATTCGTAGTTCGTGTTAAGAGTTAACATTTTAAAAGTCAAAAGAATATAATAAAATAAAATTGAAAAATCGTACATATCAATGCATCAATAAATTTTGATATCCTTTAGATTTCCCTATAAGTAATGGGTTATAAGAAACGGAAAGAGGATTAAAATTCGACCTCCTTCACGTACACTAATCAGACGAAAGGCGGAATTATTTGTACGCCTGTTTTCTGTGTGGTCGTGATATTGCATCGGTCGAGCCGGCCGGTTAATAGCTATATTTTTAATTTGTTGAAATTGTGATCCATGCCTACATAGCTTTATTACACACTTTTCTTTGTTTTTCCTAAACATAATGAAAAGAAGGTGTTACATAATAAAAAGGAGGAGGGAAATGTTTCACATATGTTTCGGCAGTCGAAACTCACATACTAACAAATGGTCTTCATATTCATGAATTCTATAAAACGACTAAGATATTCTTGTACGCTCAATCGGTCAATATGATATTGACGAGGGCTGAACATATATTATCCCGACAGAATCGGAATGATATCCCATATCGATGTAAAACTGACAGGTTTACCGCGTAAAGTGATTTGAAAATGTCGATCATGTCGGAGTGTAATAAAACATAAAGCTCGTTGGATTTTTACCATTCGCTAAATGGACGTTGAATAAAAATAAGCGTTTAACTGACCGACATAATATCTGACTCAAAAACGTAATAGGTTTATTAACAGTGTTAGGAAAAAAAATCCGACACTGTGCCGGTGTACTGGCTTACCACTAGCCTTAATAAAATGTCGACGTTTATGTCCCCTCACTAATAATTCTGACACTTGACTTTGTAATGAAAACGAGCCATTCGCGCCAAAGGATTCTAACTAATAATTTCTAAAAGTAGTAACGTTATTTTTACCATCGTTGGGGGTTAAGCACTTGACTTGTAATCTGCAGGTCCTTGGTTGATATCCCGCCATGTACCAATGTTTTTCGATTTACATATGCACATTTATCCGGCGTCCTTACGGTGAAGAAAACAATCGTGACGCAACAGATATCAGTGAAGAAAATCAAAGATATGTGTTAAAGATAAGTCAACCATCCCGCACTGGACCAGCGTGGTTGACTCCATAGTGACTAGGGGTGACTAGGCCATCCTAGTCACCCCTAACTTAGAGAAGGCTCCAAGCCCCTCAGTGGGTACGTATAGTGAGCCAATGATGATATTATTTTTATTGGAGGATCTTACAATTAAAAAAAAAACTATTTACATAATAAGAAACGTTAATTTATAAATAAGTACGTTTAATAAATATGAGGAGTCGTAGAAGTATATTCTATTCCAGATGATCATAAAAAATTTAGAAACTGAAATAAACATGTTTTTCGTTATATTTACTTTGAAATTGCATCGTATGTCGGGTTCAACTAACATTATTTACTTGTATACTATACAGAATCTAAAATACATAAGATATTGGTGTATGGAGACTGTGATATGAGGCTTTGCCGTCGATAACTGAATTACCACGCTTCAGTCGCCGCCATCCATCAACGTAGATAATTTAAAGATAAAGCCTTCCTGATCGCTTATTAAACGCTACGGGTATATTTAATCAGAAAATAAATATGCAGGTAACCTATAGTTCAAGTTATCTAGTTCGGGAAAGTTAATGGTTTTTTTTTAAATAAAAATCACTCGTAATAAATACAGAGATCAAAAGCTGAATGGAAAATTGGCCGTTAAAATTCATTTTAATTCAATTTTAGTCGATTTATTTGTTGTTGATGGTGACGCGATGGATGAATTTTAAAATTTTCAGATCCACTTCTTGTCGATTGTAAATTTTGTGAATTAAAAACGATTCAATTTAAAGTATTTAGTGGAATAACGAATACGGTTTGAAACAAATTGCCATTTACAACTGCATGTTACCATATTACATCGATACTCATTGTAAAAAAAATACTTTCCTTCATATTTTTTTTTCATAAGATGGCAAACGAGCGTGCGGTCACCTGAAATCGCTGGAATAGCGAAGCGACCGCTGCCCATAGACATACGCAATTGCATATGCGTTGCCTACCTTTAATCGCCGGAGGAGAGGTTGCACAGAAAGAAAATATTTTCCCTTCCTATGCATCCTCTCATCCGGAAAGTACACTTCCCATCCTTTCCTTATAAGGAAAAGGGTGGGAAAGGAAAGAGGACTGAATGAGGCCTTCGGGATGCACACTCATCAGACGAAACGCGGAATTGCTTCCACTTCACGCCTGTCTTCTGTGTGGTCGTGGTATTTCACCGGGCGAGCCGGGCCAATTCGTGCGAAGATGTTAAAGCGGGCTCTACCACTCTTCATATACCGTAAAGCATCCCGACTTGTACTAATAAGTTTTTCGATTTACATAAATACATTTTTATCCAACATTCTTATGGTGAAGGAAAACATCGTAATGCAACCAGCACATATTTGAGAAGGGATTCAAAGATATGTATGAAGTCGACCAACCCGCACTTCGCCAACATGGTTGACTATGGCCTATAGCTAACTTAGGATAGGGTCTGAATCCCTGGATAGGAATGTTGTCAACTGATGATGCCGTTAAGCATCAGTTTATTCAGAATTGATCACAATGAGGTTGTATAAATAAGAGTCAATTGTTTTAAATCATTTTAATAAAATAAATTGATGTATTAGTTTCATGAAGGACACATTTTAAGACCATTTTTTATTAATATTCCATTTAATATATAAACAATATTTTATATTTAATTAATACATAAACAATGTGAATCAAATAATTCCGAGAATTCTAAATGACGTGTAAACAAAAAAAATCACTTATATTTTTACTAATTAGTTTAAATTATTATTTTTGCCTGATATAACAATATTTTAAAAATATATTAAACGCCATTGGAAAGCATTTGGCTCTTAAATTCATAGATTTACTATTTGCAATAGAAATCGCCAAAATTATATAAAAAATTTATACATATTTGACGAAACTCTTGTATTTCATTTATTAAATGTATCTTGAATTTTGAAAAAAAAAAAACAGAATTAGATTTAAAAAAAAAACAACAATGTAATGAAATACAGTATTCCAAAAAAAGTTAAGCAGAAAATACATCTACCACAGAGACGAAATTTGTGCTACAGCATTTACCGGTTTCCGTTGTATAAAAACATAATTAAATTTGTCTATGGAAGAACACAGACAAAATGTTTCAATACAAGTTAAACAGTAGAATTTCATAGTAATGTTGCCATAAACATGTTCACTTAAATCCCAAAATTTCATCAAATTTTTGTTAAGTATTTTATTATTATTGTTATAATTTATTTTTCATATCGGACGAATGTCTTTTTAGATATAAAATATTTCATTTCCCTTTGACTGTGATGTTTGTTATATTAAAAAAATTATACAACTTTATTTTACAATATAATAGGATGGCAATACTAAATGTATACAAATAATTGCAACACTGTAACAAAAGGCCATACATATATTTATATAAAGATTCACTATATATTTACATTTTGTTCTTTACGATATTATCTAATAAGTCTTAAAAATTAAATACAACATTTTTACAAACATATAATGAGAAAATTTACAATACATTTTAAATAAAAATGCACAGACTATGACGTCATAGCTTTAAAAAACAGCCATTGTCAATAAAACATATTTTAAAAAAATTGACGCAATTTTTTTCCTACTTTTTAAGCTATGACATATCGATTAACCTTAGGTTTCTGACACTAAAAATCTATGCATAAAATATATTGTCAACCCTGTCATTAACTTAGAAAAAAAAACAGAGACAAAAATATATTTTAAAAAGGGTTTTTAGTTTCAGAAACTCAAGGTCATTGGTGCATTTTTATTTAAAACGTACTATACAATGACTTTAACTTGATATAAGTTTTTTAATTTCATTTTTTAGTTACATTTATCTTTTAAGTACTAATACATACAACTTTTTTAACAACGACTGATTGTGAAAAAATATACATTAAATATAAATTATAAAAAAGCTGCGTTTAAAGATGGAAACTTTTTTTTTGTATTAGAGGCGAGGTTTTTGTCATTTCAGTATTATACAAAATCTAACAATGTAATATGATCTTGTTTCACAATTGTGTTCTTTTAGAATTCTAACGTAGTTTATCTTTGAATTATTCTTTACGAAATGCAAAGAAAATTGTTTCTAACAAATGGAATTTGAAATAGCGAAATAACTTGAATCATAACCCACGTCTGTCACCCAGAGGGGTAGGCAAATACGGATCATATGATAACTCTAATTAAATTAAAAAACCTTTAAAAGGTTACACAATCCTAGTTTTTTTTTTCTTCCGGGTTATATTTAATTTTAAAGGTATTGTATAGAAGATTTCATATAATATGTATAATACTAAAATGAACAAGGCCACAATAATCCAATTGGTTAATTGTACCTTTGCCTCACAACTGATCGAATAGCTGCTCAATTTGATAACTTAAGCAATAAATTTGCTAATAAAAAAAACAAATCCTGACATTCTGTACTTCACGATACTTCAGAGTTTAAATACACATATAGCTTACAATAAGGACTAGCGTGTTGTACACAAAAGACAATGTTTTATTGCTAATTTCACACTAGGACAGAACAATGATACAGAGCAGGACAGTGCAGTACTACTATTGTTTGAACCTACACTGGTCTGTATATAGTAGTACTGGAATGTCCATTGCTCTGTATGTTCTCTTCTCGTGTGAAATATGTTAGTGCCGTTAGTGACAATTGATATGGCACCAGACGAACAAATGTTAGAGTTATAGACATGGCCAAGCGCGGGACTAACTAATGTATAATTTGTCAGGTACCGAATGTCGTTAAAGTAAGTTTACACTGCCATATGACCACTGAAATATATATCTCAGTTTTTATGTCATTGTGTGGGCATGGCGATCTGTTTTTGTTTTTGTTAGTACGTTTTTTGACAATGGAAACTAACTTTTACTTTCATCAACAGATTAAGATACGTCTGACCAAATATCAATGTTATATTATGTACTTTTATGTATATTTTTTTTAAAACAATTCTTTTATTGTTTTTAGGAAATTTCAATGAAATTGTACCAGTGCTCAGTTCTGATTAGACGATAAGATAGACATAACATATTAGTTAACTTTCATATTATTAGCGACGAATACTTTTGTTCTATAAAATCTCTTGACGTAAATTTTAAATCATTGTTGTTGTAAGTAATTCCATCATAGTTCAAGAAATAGCCAAACTGTCGCATGGAATGAGAAACAAATTTCACAATAACTATTTTATAAATCTTACTTTGACTATAAACAATCATAGCTCGATTATTTGCTTTGTAAAAGAAAAAAAAACAATAATTTACTAAAATAAAACTAGTACTTTTGCAGCATTGTTCGTGCGTTACCTGCCTATACCAAATGGCTAAGTAAATATGGGCAAGTAAAATAACTCGTAAAGAATTATCGTTCAATTCCAGGTTAATATTAAAAAAGCTATCGTAAATCGTTTAAATTAAGACTTTTTAAGCAAAAAAAAGAGATGCATAGCAATCGTGCATTTCCACTGACGAAATGGTCATCCAAAAAACTTCCATTATCTTTGCCTCCATAAGAATGAGTTAACAACACGACTTTGTATCATAATTTTTCGGCAATGGAAATCCACTTTAGCAGTCTCTCGCGTTGTTTATAAAGTAAATAAAACGACAACTTTATGGGACAACTGTTACCTTAAATCTAATTAATAAGTTTAAAAAAAATTCGACTATTTAAAAAAAAAGTGTAAAGCTATACCAGTCGCACAAATAAAATAAAAACGCAGACAAAAACACTGCCGGTTTAAAACCATTTTAAAACTCTCAACACGAATTAAGTTCATTGTAAGTTTAAAATATTTACGAGATTATAACATATTCGACAAAACAATTGATCGTCAAAACACACGCAGAAACATGTTGTGACACTAAACTTATAGTCATTGTTCACGGGGTCACACAAATCTTTTGTTGATTCAAACGAGGTAGTTACATATCATTTGGAGAGTAAACGAGAAACAAATACTCAATGTTAACTCACAAAATTTACGGATACATGTTGCACCCTTGTTCACACCGCCACGAGACAGACTTTAATGAGCCTGTGCGTGAGTTTGAGCGGAGACAGCTCGTGCTATCCATTGGAAAGTTCTTCCTTGAGCCAAGGGGGCACAGGACGGCCGAGACGTACCAAAAGTTTGGAGAGCGCGGCGTTGTGCGGCGTGTAGTATCGCTTTAGGAATTTGGCAGAGCGCTCCTCCATGGGCGGATAGATGCGCCCTTTCGACTTGCCAAGGCACTTCGTCTTCTCACCACTCGTCACTTGGCAGAAGAAACCTTTCTTCGCGTCGTATCTGGAAATTAGATGCTCTATGTAAGACACTTTGTTACTTTTCCTGGCTCGTAGAAACATAAGGACATACGGTCGATAATTTAATTCGCTTTCCACTTCCTTTTATGGAATAACTTATGTCAGTTTTCTATTCTGTTATTGTACATTATGTGATCTTACTAATATTATAAATACGAAACTTTCGATGTATGGATATTTGTAAGAATGTATCTTCAGAACGGTTGATCTCGATGAAAAGCACAGATAGTCTGGTAGAACACAGAGGCCACTAAGTTTTTTTTTTAGATTCTCTTTTATTACAGTCAGTTATGTGATAAAAGTCTTCGTTTACTTTACTACTTTACTAGTTGACAATTTTGGAAGGAAAATAAGGAAACAAAACGATAAAAAAGAAAAAAAGAATGTCTATTAGTGGCCAAACAAAATGTTTTCGGAGCGGAATACGGGTGAGTTGTCAAACGGCATACCTAGAGCAAACGTTCCCCGATTGACGATGGAGGTAGCGTTTTTCATTGTTTTATTTCCTAAGCCTCTTCCTATTTGTTTGTACAGTCGAAACGCGACAAATGCAAATTGAAATCGCTTTAACAATATACGATATCAATACACACTTATAAATCAAAATTGTACAACTTTGGTATACATTTAGTCATAGTCAACAGTTTTGTAGCCTAAAGGCATAATTAATTAATTTGATATCTTACTACTATTAATACGAATGTTTAGATGGATGGATGGACGTTATGTTTGGTATCTCCAGTACGGCTGAACAGATATCGATGGAATTTGGCATATATATATAGGACATAGTCTGGAATAACACATAGGCTACTAATTTTTTTAAATCCACGCGGACGGAGTCGCGGGCGACAGCTTGTATTAAATGCTTATCAAAAATGTTTGTCAATGTTTAAACTTCCACAGGTCACAATTACCATATCTTTTAGCAAAAACTGAAAACACTACATCTATATACACGATATGATTACTTACATAGGTAAAACTGTTAGAAATAATTTACCCGTGCTTTTTTAATCTAATTAGTGTAGATAATAAATAAGGGAAAATAATAAAAGTTTAATACAATGTAATTACACGATACATTTCATATCAATACTCCACTGAGGCTTACACAATTACTGTTTAATTTTGTTCCGGACGAAATTTTACACACAAATCGAAAACAATTATTTCAATAATAGCAACCGCTAAAAAAGCGTGGTTTTTATTTGGAAATCAATTTTGTATTAAGCGACTCTCTTTAGTTTAATGAAACTCAACAAAGAAATATCTACAATTCTTTATAAACACGTTGAGCGCCACGCGTATTTCTAAGACAATCCCGTTCAGGCCACGAGCGCCGCTTATACGCACTGGTATTAAAGGGTGTCCGATCGCAGTACAAATTCCGTAAAACCGTCAAAAAATTGTGTAATTCCGCAAAATAGTGTAAAATTTTATAGTTCTCATGTTACACTCTGTCAGCCACCGATGGTTGACGCGACCTAAACAGAAAATCTAGTGTCAGCCACCGATGGCTGACGCGGCCTAAACGGAAAGTCTAGTGTCAGCCACCGATGGCTGACGTGGCGCTCAACGTGTTAATTGTAAAATTTCTATTGTTGCCCAAAACGTCATATGGACAATGAACTGTGTGTGTTCATTTGTATTTATATACTAGCGACCCGTCTCCAGCATCGCTGTCGCCAAGTATATCCAAAATATAGAAAATTTAAGCACATGTGTTCACAAATAGGTTATTTATTGGTAATGTTTTCTAAAGTTTACTTTTAAAAAAAAATCTATAATAAACTGGAATAGTGTAGCTTCCCAACAGTGAAAGAATTTTTCGAATCGGTTCAGTAATTTTGGAGCCTATTCAATACAATCAAATTTTTCTCTTTATAATCATTCCAATTTACTAATAAATACTAATATTATGACTCGATAAAATTTGGCATAGATGTAGAAGATAAGTTGAAAGAACACATAGGCTACTAATTAAGTTTTTGTTCTCATTTTGCGCGGACTCGCTGGCGACAACTAGCATAGTATATATAGCAAAATATTTATAGCAAAAATAGAAATTTCTGTTAACCTGACGAATTATTAATAATATGACGAAGAGAGTTATCTTATATATAAAATTCTCGTGTCACAATTTTCGTTCTCACACTCCTCCGAAACGGCTTGACCGATTCTCAGGAAATTTTGTGAGAATATTGAGTAGTCTGAGAATCGGCTAACATCTATTTTTAATCCCGCGCGGACGGAGTCGCGGGCGACAGCTAGTATGTCTTATGAGATCTCCTAAGCTATGTGACTGTTTTTGTCGTGTAGTAGTGACTTACTTGAGTAGATTATTGTAGTCAATGTGCGGACTGAGTTTAAGGAACTTCTGCAGCGCGTGCAGAGCGGCGGCGGGCTGGGCGCGTAATGCAGCACCGTCCACCACATGCAGCTGGTGCGCGCCGAACTCTGACACCCAGCGCTCCAAATGGTGGCTGTACTTACCTGGGTTCAGGCAACGGTTCCTAACAAAATAAAAATATATATTTTTACGATGTTCAATGGAAAATCACTATTATATTCAAATATGTATACCGTATCCGAATAATTTATAACTCGAATGTTTAGTTGGTGCGGTATGCTCTAAGTTTGATGTCGTGGGATAAAGTTCTTGAGGCAATGCTTGCTTTAAGCGCTTAAGTTGAGCTGATTGGAATAGCACAGTAGAGTTGTTATTATGGAGTTTAATTTTCATTAAAGTATATAACAAATGAAAACATTTTCTTAGATATTTTCCAGAGATTTTAAAATGGATTACAGCATATATGTAATTTAAATATTTGTCAAAATAAAATTTGATATTACTGTTAGTTTTAGATTTAGATATATCTTTGACATTTACCTAGGTAGTATAATACTTGCATTGTTTTATGTCGTATTTTATTCAAGCAAACCTTCACATTCATGTCATACCCATTTCATGTAGGATAATAAAAAATTGCAAGAACAATACATTGAAAATGTAAAGGTAGAAATATAAGAACGAATGTCTATTCGTTCGGGACAAAAGCGCGCGGTTCGGGCGCAATCTGCGCCTTCCGAGTATCTGAAAAGTGAAGAGAAAGTTGCGCAACAAATCCCCGCATATGAATACAGCTTCAATTCACAATTTATTCAATGGGAAGAGTTTTGAATATGTCTGCAAGTAACCGGCCGTCGCGTATATTCCTGTATTGTTAGACTCACCTTAAGTCCTTAAGCGGCTTGGGCGCGGAATCGTTGGCTGTAATGATCGTGTGGAAGGTATAGTTTCTCGCCACCGGGTCACCGTGCGATCTTATATGTTGGTACCAAGAGTACGCCCTAAACAAAAAGTTACAAATAATAAATTCATGTTAACATTGATAGAAAATTGGTCATCGAATAAAAACTTTATGTAAACTATTTGTTAACCCTGTTGCTCTAATAAATGTTATACATATTAAAAATATTTGCAATATTTTCTCAAGTATAATAAATATATCCTTACCTTTTGGATGGAGATATGAGTATAGCTATGATCTTGGATGTAGGCAGCAGCGCGTGCGCACGTCGCGGCGCTAGTTCCGCGTCAAAGTACGTAGCAGACTTCTCAAACGCCATCTGGCTCGAGTTGCTGAGATTTGCCGGGAAGAAGTTCAAATACCTGCACAAAAAAGAACTATAAGCAGGCAACATATTTTAGGTTTTAAATATAAGAGTGGAAATCGTCACGTAAAACCTAACACGTGTGTTTGAATTACATAATAAATAAATTGAACTTAAATGTAGCATTGATTTCTAATTGGGAAATTGACGATAAACGTCAGCACTTCATATGGACAATTTCCATTGCAGAAACTCTTATTCCATATTAAATTATCATGCATCTGGTATAAGTTAGTATAACGCTTAACTTACCAATCCAATCCTTTGAGGTAGTTATTATTGTTGAAAAACTGCAGCTCCTCGTATGTGGTGGGGCTGGGCAGGTTGGGCACGAGGGCGGGGTGCATCGCGAGAAAGCTGTACAGCGCGGTGCTGCCGGTCTTCTGCGGCCCGATGACAAGCACACGAGGCAGACTGCCGCACCATTTGCTCTTCGACCAGATGCGACGGTGACGTATATCGTCGCATGGATTCTGGACATACGATTACCATGTTTATTACTATCGGATTAGACTGTAGCAAAGCACACTTAGATGATAGACAAACACTTTGTGTTGGTAATCTATGGTTTGACCAAAATATACCGTCGCAATAAGAGGTATTTAAATTCATATAAGTTGTGAACATAAACAATATTATACATTAATATTCTGGTGCGCCTATCGAAACAGTTAATCGATACAATGGTCGAAGGTTCAAATGCACGCGCCCTCACCAGTTAATCGATCAAACGTTAGCCGGGACTTGCACAACAATCGTTTGTCACACGTGTTCCGAATGCGGTTATCACAAACAGCTAGACTAGAAACTATATCTATTGGTTATAAGTTCCCTTAAATTAATTGATTTTACGTTTAAATGATATGTATCTTGAGGTAGTAAACGAGCAAACGAGCAAGCGGGCACCTTTATTAATCGAAATAACGAAGCGACCGCTGCCCATAGACATCCGCAAATGTATATGCGCTTCCTTTAATCGACGGAGGAGGGAACGTACAGAAAAATCCCGTTCCTATGTGTCACCTCTTCCGTCAAATTCCTTTAGCCGATCCGCATCATGTCGCAAGTAAAATCGAAAACCAGTACAAACTCTGTGGCAATATCCTGAACTATTGTTCACTAAGACAAGACAATTCTATTATACTTATTCTGACAGAAATAGAAACAGCAAAACAAACTTGATAATATTGTTTAATAAGGTCGATAATAACGTAAAATGAAAGTATTAAAAGTATAATTAGTACCAAACAAAGTAAAATAAACTTTATAATAACTTCTTTTATTTTGAAAGTTAAATATTTCGGCGTCATTGTGCCGACCAAAGTTTTGGCTTGTTTTGACTTGGTTTGTGTATTTTGTTACAGAGAGGCGCTCATTCAAAAGCGTTACAGGGCATTTTTTATGACGCAAATCTCGGCATTTTAAGCTTTTCACTCTCGGCTTTTATATTATTTTGTATACATAAGTAGTCAAGAATATTAAGACATTTTACATCGCATGTATTTAGGGCGATTATTTTTAAAAATATAACTAGATAATCGATTTTATAAGAGATCTAAAATTAGTATAGTTTATAAGTCTTGGTGGGTTATGGAAGGATTTCTGAAAATATTCGTTTTACTTTGCGTTTTATTTAATAAAAATTGTGGTCGATAAAAATAGATTTCAAAGTTATGAAAGAAAATGAAAAAGTTAGTAGCAATGTCGAATCGTTTTACTTCAGCCAAAGTTCTTAGACTATTGGTAGAATTAAGTCTCACAAAGCGCTGTGCGAATTCACCATTTGATCATTGGCGTTAAGCATCTCTCAACTTTTGTGCTTAGTTGGAAATAGTTAATGGAAATTAATTTCCATGAACTTTGTTACAAATTTCCCAATCACTAATTACGACGTTTTTAAATTTGGAATTGTCGTTGGACAGTTGGTAATTTTTTTTTACTTTCTTCATTTAAACGCTGACCCGTTTCTGTGCCGACAGGACAAATTAATTATTTATTCTGAAAAACACATGTCAAATTTGACGAAATTCTGCTGGAGTAATACAAACTTTAACCTTTTTCGACGTATATAGGACAAATTGAAGAAAAAAAAGAAACTTTTAGTTAATTGTTTGTTCTGAAAGTTTTAATTTATGTCAAAATCTATTATATTACGCAAGAAATATGTATAAGATCGAAAATTATCTGATCCTTCATTTATAGCCATCTGTTAGAAATAAAAAGAAATGAATCGTATATAAAACTAAGGGCGTGAAGGGGATGTCACATAGTCATTTAGCAAAGTACATATTGGCGTGTCTCGTTCTGCGAATCCATCCGCAAATTGAATCAAGGGCGACCGTCGTGTCGGTTTATTCGAGTAAATATTATGTATTTTATAAAGTCTCTTACATTTAATTATAATATGTTTTTGTAATAATTTTCTATAGTATCATGATATAAACGAAATGGAATTATATTTTTTTTGTAAATAATGCACCAGCATTTTTATTTCTAGAAAAAATGTTTCAATGAAAAATGTCACAGCGAACATAAATGGCGTGGTTATTTTATGACCATGGTACATCAGTATATATTAAAAACTTTTCCCCATACAATACCAATATTATAAATGCGAATGTTTAGATGGATGGATGTTAGTTTGAAGGTATCTCTAAAACGGCTGAACAGATCTCGATGAAATTTGGCATGCATATAGAACATAGTCTGGAAGAACACATAGGTTACTATTTATGTCTTTTTTAATCCACGTGGATGGAGTGGCGGCCGACCGTTAGTCATTAAATATGTTTTAACGATGGAAATGACACAATGTTGTGAGTGAGAATTTCACAATGGAAGAATGTCGTGAAGATAGTGTGATATTATGTTCTAGATGATGCTAAAATGAGATAAAGAAAGTGAGGTACTATGACAAAGTTGACGGATAGTGAGAGATGTACTCACCCCCCAGAGTGGGTTCAATTCATCGGGTCGCAGCTGGAAGTACTTGTGCGCGAGGGCGAGCGGCGGCGCGGAGGCGAGTCGCACGTTGGTCCAGCAGCGCAGGAACTTTACCACAGACTCGAACGTGTATAGCGCCAGACGATCGTTGCCATAGTTTGACATATGCGTCATGAAGATGTTGATCTATGACAACAAAGAGTATGTCAGACGTGGTATACACCAGCACAACATCTGCAGCACGAATTGGTAGTCGCGCCCGGTGTAATACCATGACCACGCAGAAGACAGGCGTTAACTAGAAGTCTTTCCCCGTTTCGTCTGATTAGTGTGGTGACAGGGGCCTAATCGTCTCCTTCCCACCCTTTTGTCATAAGGAAAGGATGGGAAAAGGAAGTTGTTGACAGTGGAGTGGACGTTTAGTGAGGGGAAGTATTCTCAGTCTCTGCGTCTCCTCCTCCGTCGATTAAAGGTCGGCAACGTATATGCATTTGCGGATGTCTATGGGCAGCGGTTACTTAGCTACTTCGGCGAATTCTGGTGGTCTTGCTTGACACCTAATATATATGCATATAATATGGTACTGAATACTATATCTACTACACTAGTTATTATAATTTGTAAATTAACTACGTCTGATATTTATAACTAAAATAGTCTGTACAATATTTTAAATACGAGAAGAGCTGTAATTAAAATCTAGTCAGAGCACGGCAAAGATGTCTTGAATTGAAAGGCAACTTAATTCCACGGAATGTCGACGTAAAAATTTATAACGATACTATTTCATGGAAAAGTCTAGACAGACGACTGTTCATAATATTGAGAATAAATGAAAATGTCTGAGAAGTCACTTAGCGCTGTGAAACGTTTGTTGTTTCTTCTTGAAAATATTGTACAAAAATAATAGAAGAAAAATCAAATGATTTTACAAAAACATTGGGCGGATTATTTTATCTATATATTTTTGTTATGAACGCAATCGAATTCGAAAGCCCCGCCAAAGGGAATCGAAACTTTTTTTCTAAACGGACCGATTTGGCTCGCTTTTTTATACGTTTCTCATGCAACAGGTTTACGGTGCCTTTTTAGCGTTAAATTCATTCGGTAATTTTCGGTCATCAATTAAGAATACAGGAAAATTAATATCGATGTAAAACATATAAAATAATTATGCTTTAACCAAAAATATATTAAGAGTAGTATTGCCATGTGCTTTTTAATTATATTAATGATGAATTAATTTAAAATAGATTAAAATTAATTAACTTCATAATTGAAAATTAGTTGATGATTAACTGGCCACTAAAATAGTTATCACTTTATAACGATATTTTACGTCGATAAATATGCATCCAACTTTAGAAAATTCTATCTAGCTTTTAGTTCGTTATTCCGATATTCGTACGATGTCAAGCGGTTCTATGAATTTAATTAAATTTGGTAACTTGGATTCATTAAAATTGAGAATTTTAATTGAAGCGAACTAGAAATTTATATTCAACGAGAGATACGAACGAAGAGATATTGCACAATCGAGTCGCATCGAAAAGTTTTTCCTTGTATGTACTGATCTACATCTAAGTGAACTGAGACCTTTTTTAATTCAAACCTAAATTACATTTATAAAAACAATGTACTCTATTTTTAAGTTGAATCGTGTTTTAATTGACACGAACGACCAGTGTGCCTAGCATCGTGTGACAATCGCCTTGTTATCGTCATCGCCAATTTTGACAAAATTCGTAAGAGATTTTTGATAAGGGTGCTATAGAAATTTTAATGCAAATTTTGTCGATGGCGATTGTCACAAATATTCGTGCTAGGTCCTCTGGTTTAAAAAGAGAAAACGTATAGATGCAGTCTTGTTAGATTGGTGATAATTTTTTTTTAAGATTGTTTTTCTAATAAAGATTGATAGTTCCACACTGACCTCTATACATGGCTTGGCTATAAACTGTGGTAATTTGTGCCTATTTGATTTTGGCCATTTTGGCGATGACTGTTACAGTTGGTGACGGTGGTGAGGATTGGAACTAGTAATAGAGATAGAATTAACTGTCAGGAACTTCAACAAGCGCATACAATAAAGCAAAAGTTGTCATCTCCAAGCAACTTATCCATTTACAGAGAACATTGTGGTTACATTATTGTTACTTTACAATCAGTAGCTCGCTACTGTAATGTTTTTTTGCCATCATCGGCTGTGATACAGTAGTCCGGCCATATCCGTGTCAACATGATATATTGATTTTGGACGAACCCAAATCAAACTAATGTTGTCCTGTAGCAACATTAATCCGTTTTTGTACGCGACGAATGGTGTCCCTTCTCTAAAAAAATGTCAAAAGTACGACGTGCAGTCATTCGAACGCCATCCATTAGCGAATACCGGGACGGATTCGCTCGTAAAGTGTTGTTATTACAACGTTTTTCCAACGTAAAATGATAAAAGCTGTTTTTCACTAATGCATATGATCTGACTAGAAAAGATATATCTCTAAGTTGACAACTTTCCGTTTTGGTAAGTAGAAGATTAATTGTGGTTTAAGGCATTTTTAAGTGCAGACATTTTTTTATATGATAAGGTGGCAAACGAGCAATAATTGAATTCGCCGAAATAGCAAAGCGACCATAGACAACCGCAATTGCAGATGCGTTGCCTACCTATCAATAGAGGCAGGGACAGGAAGAGGATATTTTCCCTGCCTATGCGTCTCCAACTCTATCAAATCCATGTCTCCTCTCACCCTTTCCTTATAAGAAAGAGTAAAAGTTGTTTTAGTGTGAAATTTTTTGTTGAATATTACATCTTATAAATATGAGTTTCTACTGCCAAAGCATCATACTATTTGTAGTCACAACATTTTAAGGATACAAGGAGATGTGACGTAAAAATCGACTTTACAGTATAAACCCAAGCTATGTGCGGTATTATGACTTACAGGGTTATTGATAACTGTCTGGAAGAGTTCCCCGCCTTGTATGGAGCGGTCGAGTCGCTGTCTGCCGCCGGGGTATCGCTCCAGTAGCAGCGTGTGAGTGAACAGCCCGCAAGTTTGACGCGGCAACACCATCACACCGCGGTGACGGAAGCCGCGACGTAATCTGTATAACAATATTAGAGGCATTCAAAGGGTTAAATCTACACTAAAGGTACGCGTCCATTGGCACGCGCTAGACGCATCGCACAAGGTCAACGGATTTTAGTTTGCTTTCTATGATTTTAGTAGCTGTCACCCGCAACTCCGTCCGCGCGGAATTAAAAAAAACTATTGATCGCAGCGTAATGTTATAAAGCCTAAAACCTTCCTCAATAAATGGATTATCCAACAAAAATAGAATTTTTCAAATTGGACCAGTAGTTCCTGAGATTAGCGCCTTTAAACAAACAAACAAAATCTTCCGCTTTATCATATTAATATAGATATAGCGCTCTGTCCATTCAACAAGGGATCCGTCGCGGGCCAATGGGCGTGTACCTTAAGGAGAACTACACTTAACAAAGGTGTTTGTGGCAGTTATGTGTTCAAATAAATACTACTTTAATTTTATCTCTTTCAGTTTAAATGTAATCAACAAATTTAGTTTAGTTTGATAAATAAATGAAGAACAACATGTACAGAACAATAGTAATGTTTGAATCATTTAGTTAAAATAAATACATCCTATTGCGTTATCTTTTCAAACTGACGACCTATTAACTTAATTACACGTTTGTTTTAATAAAATTCTTAGGAAACTATCACAATTTGTAATCACTTCAATGGAATATAATCAGAGACATAAGTTCATGTCGGAGCGGGTCACGGCACTGATAAAATAATAAATAAAAGCGTATGAAAAGTTAATACACGATGTGTGGTATATTGAAATAGATTGTGAAACAAATTATTTATGAATTTGTTGTTGTTTGTTATACTTAGGTCAGCAATAATATTATTAATTAAAGCAAAAATTGCTTTAATTAATAATATTATTTAATTATATTGATAACACAAAAATGTTCGTCTATTATTAATAATACTACAGTCGACTATTCTAGAAATAATCGCTATAATAATATCAATAAATTTGATAAAAATACAATTTATAAATTTTATTCAAAAAAAAATTTTATTTAGGTTTAAAATGTTCAGTGAATGTCAGTTATAAATAAGATTTTTTCGAGATTATCAAATGGAAAAGACAAGCGATGTTTTACAATGATGTTTAATATAAAAGAAAACTGTGTTAATTTATTTCATTTATAAATATTTGATAAATATATTCGTGTATTTTATACAAAAGGAACAGTAAAAGAAGAATGAGCAATTTATAAAAATCCTGGAATAATTTTCTGGAATACGTTTTTATATATTTGAAGAAAGGAATACGTATTATTTCATTGTCATAATTTATATCACATAGATTTATTCCTCATTTTATTACAATCGTAAATCTAAATACAAAGTAACAGGGCCACGTGTCGTTTGAACGCTCCTTTTGTTAATACGCCATGATTTGAATAAATAAAAAGCATGATCATAGAACGGCATTAAAATAACACAGATATTGGTATCGTATTTTCCAATTTAATAATTCATTTTTTATTAACAAAAACTAAAATTATCTTACATTAATATTATATTATAATTCTTATAATCTTATATATATAAAAGAAGGTCGTGTTAGTTACACTATTTATAACTCAAGAACGGCTTTACCCATATGCCTGCAAAATTGGTGAGGAGATAGCTTAGAGTCAGGAGACGGATATAGAATACTATTTATTCATTTTTTTCGAATTTATGCCTTCAAGAGCTACTTTTTATTTAACTTACTAATATTATAAATGCGAATGTTTAGATGGATGTGATGTGGATGGATGGATGGGTGTTTGAAGATATCTCTAGAACAGCTGAACGGATCTCGATTAAGTTTAGCATCCGAAAGAACACATAGGCTACACTATTTAAGTTTTTTATATCCATGCGGACGGAGTCGCGGGCGCCGGCTAGTTAATAATATAACCGGAATGTCTGGATGTTTGTTTGGTACCTTTGGAACGGCTGCATTAATCTCGCTTAAATTTGGCATACATGTAGATCATAGTCTGGCTACTTATTGAATTTGTTTTTGAATTGAATTCCACGCGGACGGAGATGCGAGCGACAACTAGTATAAGTATAATTTTAATAATAAAATCATCAATTTAAAGTCAAAAATATAATAAAATACAATTTGTTCTTAAATTTTTTTTGTGAGTTGTTAACGAGAAAAAATGTATAGCATAAATCGTCAAATAATTTTTTTGTGTTATTTCATCGTAAAAAGAGCGCAAGAGTAATTAAAAAATAAAATTACGAAATTAATTTATTATTTTGTTTCAAAAATGAAAAAAATAAATCATTAATTTTGTTTTATTCTAGACACAGGCAATCGGTCTGGTGAGCGTGTTGTCGGTGCTCAGTTTTACGGCCACTTTTTATGTCAGTCTGTGGAAGCGATCGCCATCTTACTTCCGCTTTCAACTGTTTTTAGCGGGACTATAACTTCCTTTATGGTTTCTTGTACTCATCGATTCTATGGACGCTAATTTATCATCATTATTCAATCGTTTCGATACGATTCATTTAAATATAAAGTGTAGTACTTTATTCATAGTAAGGTAAAGATTGTATGGGGAAATTTAATTCTGTTTTGATAAAATAACATCATATATATATATTGGTAATGTTTAAATTACAAGTCAAAGAGCGATTTACAAAAAAAAAGATTTTTCAAAAGTAAAGTAAGTATTTTTTTTGTAAATCTTTTATTACTATCGTACTATTACTTTACCTGGCAGGTCTTAAATGTGGATACTCTTCGGTACTGGTGACCTGGACGTCCCAGACTTTACGCCAGGCTTCGTAAAGCGGCTCGTGCACCGGGTACACGCCTGAGTGATGCGGTGACACAGAGTAGCACGAGTTTGTGGGGATACCGTGCTCTAGAGCAAATTGTTTGTTCAACATCATCTCGGCTTCTAACTGAGATACGTTGTTGTACAAATGCGGCTGCTGGTGGTTCCACATGTGACAAAACCTAAAACAAAATTGATACTTAGGACGGGTTAGGTTGGGTACATACTAGCGCGTTTTTGCAATGCACTCGATGGAAAACCGGTGAAATATAAGCCATAACTTTTTTGTGGGGTTTAGACTTCTTTTTTTATTCTTGGATTATAGACATGTAAAATGTAGATATGTACGTTTGTATACGTTTTATATGTAGGATATACTCGTATCATTATGACGATATAAAAGAAAACTTTGTATTATGCAAGGATTAATGACACACGTTATTCAGAATGGACGGAAATGTACATAAAGCGTCACAATATCATCAAACATTGTACTTTATTTCTACTGCTAAGAGTTTATTTTTGCATGAACATTTTATGTATGCGCAGGCGTATCCGACGCTCGTGACTTAATACAAGGATAGACATGGACATATTGAAGCATTGAAACTTGCTAACATTCATAATATAGACATTCGTATGTTTATGTTAAAATTAGTAAAGGTGTGTTTTCACTGTCACATTTGTCAAAATAGATATTGCTATCGCTTTCATTCTATTTAAAAATTTAAACAGCAATGAAATATAGTGGAAATATTGTCGCGTAGTAATTTTCCATTCGATGTATCATATAGACTGAAAAGGCTATCTGTGAGGTTAGACGAAGGTCATTCGCTTTAAAGCGATTCCATAACGAATTTCAAAAATGCATAGAACTGACAATAACTTTCTATAAGTCACGTGATCATCCCGTGTCAATTCTTCACATTTTTGAAGTCCGTTACGGTATCGCTTCGAAGCGAATGCACTTTGTACCACTGAACCGTTGGGTATAAGTCAAACTAAATTGTGATCGCTCACTAGCGCCCTCCTGTCATTGTCAAAGAAGTGTCAAGTGGTCCTTTTAGTACTAGCTGTCATGACATGTTTTTTCTTTTATGTCATTTTCTATGCCTTTTACACATTATCCGAGATAGCAGCGCTTATTTAATCGTGTCTCATATCCTTGATGGTCTAGTTTATAAATGTCAAACTAACTCATGTCATCAAATTACATGTATAGAAAAATTGTATTTGTTGGACACTGTTATCATGACGTCGGTACAGAACTCATAAAGTCGGAATGATTAATGACGCAATAGCGTGTTTATGATAGTGGCAGTTAATAGGCTAGTATTAATAGATAAAGTCGTGGAGGTTAGCGAGAACTTGGTCTTTTTAATATGTGCCACTAGTCTAGATTTATGAAGTCATAATAAGAGATAAGTATCAGTGGGAGGAGACACAAATATCAAGAAGCAATCACATAATGTATTATAGGATAATATTTCTGAATAAAATTCAAACATTTAATTAAGTAATAATAAATTCATCATCAGCTAAGTCCCCACCGAGGGGCTCGGAGCCTGCTCTAAGTTAGGGATTAGGCCATAGTCAACCACGCTGGCCAAGTGCGGGTTGGGTTGGTTGACATCACACATATCTTTGAATTTCTTCTCAGATAAGTTCAGGTTGCATCACGATGTTTTCCTTCACCGTAAGAACGTCGGATAAAGGTTTATATCTATGTAAATCGAAAAACACATTGGTACATGGCGGGATTGGAACCCAGGACTTGCAGATTACATGTCAAGTGCTTAACCCCGGAGTATCCAATGCTTTTCCATGATAAATAGTTATAGTTAAGAAATTTAAACACATATGATAAGTCTACCAATCAGCTAACTTGACTGACTATGATTGAAGACATGTTGGCCACGTGTTTATGTTAAATGTACACTTACCATGTGAAATGTTCTCTATTCCGAAGTAATGCATCATCGCCTCGATTCTCCAGTGGCGTACCGTGGTGGTAGTACTTAGCACTGAAACCCAGGTTAAATCTAAAGCCAGCTACAAGTCTCTGTAACGCTGCTTGCGATGCTAGAAGTGCTGATACGTCTTCTTCGTGGAGTCGAGTACCTATATAAAAATTGTTTATTAAAAAAATCAATAAATCCCGACTGACTTAAAAACAAAGAGACATAACTACGTTATTTATACAAATTTATTTTGAGCTGATATAATTCTGACACTCAGATTAAGAAAACTGACGGAATTATACTTTAATAATATCGATCCTGCCGTTTAGGTTACCGAAGGTGACTATAAACCCACGTACAAAATTCGTAAAAACACAAAAAACACTGTCTGCCTGAGACAGTCGGGTAAAAACCCTGGTAGACGAGATAATAAGATGTGGATGATAAGTCGACGGTTCAAGGTCATTTGTACATATATAAGTAGATAGAACAGTCCCCTACATGACAAATATTTAAGTAATTAAATTTGACTTCATTTTTAGTTTGAAAACTTTTAAAAAGATGTCACAATCAGCAAGATTAAGGCACTGAATCATTCGCTTCGTTTTCTTTCTGTTATTCGTGGGCTAAAAAGAATTCCGTTTGGTATATCGTAGTCTAGACGTACTAAGGAAGTAAAATGAGACAGATTCTTGCATATTATTCATAGAGAAAAATTGCTCTCTTTGTATTGCTTATCAAGTGAAGTTTGGTTCACATTTAACTCATTTTGCCAAAGCAAATGCACAAAAATATTGTTATCTTTGTTTTTTGAAAGAAAATAAGAGGGACAATATATAATATGAGTTTTTTTTTGTTAACAAAATAAATGAATATTTTTATCCCACATAATTATAGAACACAAATTGTTTTAATGTTTTCATTAAATTAAATATAAGTGTTTAAAAGCATACAAATAATAATGAATAAATGTTAGTTTAATGTCTTTTAGTGAAATGTCAATTTGTCTTCGGCTTGGTAATAGGAGTTTAGCGAACTCAGAGTTTTTAAACCAGACTTAACAAGTTCGCATAAATAATGAGCATCGAGACTTAACAGCAAAGTTGAAACAGCGAGGAGCTCAGCTCTTGAGCTCCGATCTTAAATCTTACGAAGCTCTAATAATAATTTGAATTTATCGAAGACTTTATTGTTATTATTTTAACTTAACTTTTTACATTCCAAATTAAAATATCAGATTTCTTTGAAAATGACATATCTTTTCTACATACAATCGAATTCAAAAATGTTTGCTTAGTATTCATGATTTTTTTCTCATCAAAGTTGCTCGAAAATAAAAAAAAATAGCAAAATATTTCTCATGTTAAGTAATTTAGGCGAATGAAGCGTTTATATTTTATCAAAGTATGCTACACATTTGTATTAGAAACTAAAACTTACTCCGAAAACCATCGACAACGAAAAATAAGCCGGACATCGAGAATAACAAACTGTCAAACAATGAAAAACTAGCGACAAAGTCATATGTGCATAGATATAACCCAAAGTAAAGTACTCACCTCTCTCTCCAACGAATATATCATCAATATCAACAAGTATCCATCTATCGAGGCTGAGACTGAGCTGTCCATGGCTGAGGTAGCTGAGTGCGTCAAGCAGCAGCAGACGGTGCAACCAGAACTGCAGGCCGGCGCCAAACAGCACGCGTTGCACGCCGTCCACGCGCCCGTGATCTTGTATCACCGTCGCCAGAGGGACGCGCTCTTCTGTCACAAACATAATTTCATTACTTTCAAAATCCATTTCTTCGTAAGTGTAATCCATGCGTAGGAAAAAGCACGTAAGGGTATTCCTTGCGGCAACATGTGTATAAATGTTAACTAAAATGTAGTCCTGCTGCGACTCATGTGAAATTAAACGCTATAAAGTTTGTATGGAAAATAAATAATGCTGGCAGCTTCATGATTGGAAAAAGTATTGTTCATTAGTGATATATTCCAACAGCTAACCTGGACTTTATAGGTTAAAGCCTGATTTTTACATTGCTTTTTCGATATCCATATTTTACACGTTAACAACAAACACAAACAAGTCACATTTGCATTTAAGGGCAAACAAAAATAGAGGAATCATCAAAGGAAAAGTTACGATTTCGCCCGGAGAGTAAATCTCTGGCGTACGGAATATTTTACACCTATACGTTGTTTGAAAAACGAAGGCGGAAAAAACTTCCGGCTCGAATGTTACTGACTACGGAGCTAGTTTTACTTTTCGACTTCGGGGAATAACGTAGAAACAACGAACGAATAAAAAAACACATTCTTTTTATATACAAAGAGAACAATGGCTCGAATATGAATGAGTGAACTTATTGATGATTGAAGAATTCCATCGTGTGTAATTATCATCCGTCATTGTATAGTATTACGTTGTATTTTATAAAAAAAGGCGCCAAACTACTAATTGTTTTGCTATGACCTGTACTATCTAACAAATATTATAAATGAGAATGTTTGGATAGATGTTTATTAAACGGTATCTCCAGAACTGCTGCATGATCTCTGATATTTGACATAGATGTAGAACATAGCCTGGAAAAACACGTAGACGATTTTTTGTAATTCCAGACGTGGGAGTCGCAGGCGAATGCTAGTTTGAAATAAAGTTGTGGACCAATAGACTACTGGTATGATAAATCTCCTACATTTAATTCAAGTTAATCTTTTTTAAGTAAAATATTAGCAGATTTTTGTTATTTACTATTATTTCTTGTACCATTCCAACTAAGGTCTAGGCTTGTGCTAGAATATGGTCTACAATAGTCGAATGGCGGGATTCGAACCCCCGACCTCATGATCGGAAATCCGTACTCTTAACCATTAGGCTATTGACGCTTCATAATTAGACATAATTAAAATATTTGTACAACTTAGCTTAGAACTGACTTACTATTTCTCAAACTTAAAATCTATACAGAGTTTTAATATATACGTAGTTGTAAAGTAAAAAGAAATAACTGAAAAGAAAATGTATTCATCCTTTTCAGTATTTCATCGTAAAATAGGGGCTATTGATAGGAAAAGTTTTGGGTCTGGTTCGTTGTTGATCTTTTATATCGAACAATAGTATTGCATAACAGCAAATTTAAAACGACAAAACTTTCTCGCACGCAACACACTAATAATAATAGCAGAGCTTACTTGGATCAAAAACACGGTGATATCACAATTATTTTTGTAACAAAACTTTTACGATAGTGTACATAAATAGCGATTAAACCTATTGTTTTTAAATCGTGGAACAAACTGTCCATTTATAACGTCATAAAATTAAATAGTTATAAAGATTCTGAGAAAAAAACTCCGTTTAAAACATATAATCTCTGTTTCGTCAAAGATAATGACAAGGTTGACGGTAAGTTTTATAAAGATATTTTGGTATTAGAAACCCACGGTAATACTGTGATAGTCGTGCATTTTGAACTAAACTTAGACTCTAAACTATATGTTAGGATTGGTTCTACCATACACATATATATATGTAATGTGAATACATACAATGTTCACATTATTCACCTAGCATATAATATAATGATGTATATGTCTATATATGTCTCTAAGTTGGCTTCAAAGCGTTACGCTGCTCTTGCGGAAACACATTAACGCAGTAACGGCCTTATTGGAAGATGTTAATTAGCGCATAAGCAGGCACGAGATGCAACTTAAGTACCACTTCTGCACATAATCACTTGAGATATTCACTTAACTATTGTCGTACGAACTAAAGCTATTAATTTGTTGTTGCTATGCGGAATTCATAAAGTAAAGGGTGTTGTGGACCCAAGTATTAAAGTTAAGATGCAACAGATTATATTTAGATGTATTAGATTTAAGAATCTCTATCATATAAAATATTAGTATTATAGGACATACTTTGTAGCCCAATTTTGTTGTTATACTACGATGTAAAATGAATACGATTAACCATACGATGTTTGCTATCAAACATGGTTATTATACGTATTGAAAAAGTGATGGCTAAGTGCATGATAATTATCAATGCAATGTGTACTTACCGCTGGAGCCGTATTCATTCTGTCGCACTGCCCAAGCAACGGGCTCGTACGTGGTGCTATTGGCACGGAAGACTGTCCAGTGGTCGCCGGGTAGCGCGCCCCATGCTGTCTCCCCCGCGCGCGACAGTCGCAACACTGGTGACGCTGGGTTGAGGGTTGCATCCTATTCGAGATTAAATGTGGCCTTTTGAACTGAACGACTTATTCCACTAGGTCCTAATAGGTATTCCTTGAATATCTTATCTGTCACATAAAGAAACTAACTATTTTCTGTAATTATGAGTATGCCCAAATCTAAAGCAGATTTTTAAGACTGTTATTACTGAAATATTACTAAAAGGTATTTAAGAAGAATTCAATATTATTAGGGATATGTTGATAATTAATGAGAATACGTGGAATTTATGATGTTACAGATTTTCGTAGAAAATGTAATGAAATGACCTCAAACATTATTTAAACATTAATTTCTCATGAATTTTAATCCCACATTTCGGATATACTACGAATTTGCTCACTTGCTCGATTTACCGTAGAAATCAAAATATAAAAGTACAAAAATATTAAAATCAGTTTCCATCCCATAATGTTACCTTAAGTCTTAGATTAGTATGCATAAAGAGTGGGAAACCCTTCAGCTGAGCTCCAACAAGGGTCTCCTCCCCTGGCGTCGCAAACCCGACGACGCCAACGGCATACTCCCGGCAGTACTTGTCCAGAAGTTCCCGATTCCATTTGTCCATGTTCGCGTATTTGTTGAGAGATTCAAAGATGATCACTCCGTACCGTCCCTTGTCCAACGTGGTGAGGACTGGCAGACTCTTGCCTGCCACCTCCACCTTGTACCTGTAAACATTCTTATATTGAAACTAGGCAATATTTTAGAGCTATAACTATGTAAAGTAAACTGATGAGAAAAAAGAATTATATATTTTGTATCAAGGTTGAAATTCAAAGTTCATTTAAAAATAATATTTAATTCAAGTTCATTTAATCAATTAAAATCAAACTGTTTTAGATTAAAACCTATTTAGAACACTGGCCGTAAGTAAAGATTGTAAGATTATATACATGTCAAAAAGAAATGTGAAGTTATAGTTTAGGAAAAAAGTAAGAACGTGTCTCTGCAAAAAAGAACCTGGAATGTGTGAAATAATAGTTTTATTAGAAAGATCCCCCACATAAACCTAGCTCAATACATTTTAGATTGTTGTAAAAAAGTAAATTAAGAATAAGTCAAATCAATGTCGACTATAGGTTTATAACATATACGAGTAGTGTACGACATTGTTCTCATGCAAGTGACCTTTTCTTTGTTTTTTTTTTTTAGAATAAATGCTTTAAATCTTAAACCTTTGAACATCTTCTTTTTATTAAAAAAAAGAAATATCTGTCATCTCGATTTGTAACAATCCTAACGTAAAAACAACAATGTACTGTTAGGAATAAAATCCGATACTGTGCCGGTGTACTAGCACAACACTAGCCTCACTAAAATATCGACATCTATGTCGACCCCTCACTAATCATTCTGACACTTGACTTTGCAATGTAAGCCCGCTATTCGCGCCAAAGGATTGTAATTAATAAATGTCTAAAAGTACAAATTGCTATATTTTCCTTAAGATACAATGCGCATATGAAACGAAGAATCTCGTTTATTTGCTACATTTATCTACTGTTGCGAGAGACAAACAACATTATCCAATGTAGCTAATGTCGGCCAACTGATTGTCGGCTATTAAGGCGACTGGCTTGTTCGTAATGGTATACTTGTCTCACAAAGTCAAGGTTATTTGGCAATCGTAACAATGTGCTCAGTGAAATTAAATTTACATGTATATTTCAATGCATATAATATGTTAAGAAACTATCTTTAACTTTAGGCAATAGATAAGAGAAGGCGCTGTCTCCTGAAGCACAGGTTCAACTAGTTCCGGAGACAGAGCCCACAAAATTAGGTGAAAAATGTTTTTTCTTGCCCAATAAAGAATTTTTATTCATAACAACTTGTGTGATGAGAAAAAAAATAGTAATCATAGAGTAACATAGATGACAGGAAAATTGCATCAAGGAATAAACATTTCCTAGAACATTGTTAATCTTTTAAAAAAAAAATGGCAATAAAGAGGTCAACAGCGGTGACCGACACGACATAGAGTTATGAACTTCGCGACCCGGACATATTTGTCATTTCTAAATATAGTTATGAGAACTAAACCGTATACGATATCTTTTATTACGAAAACATGTTCTTTTTTATAACGACTTATGTGTTGTTTATTTTAAACGCGCCTATTTATACCTAATCAAAACTTATATCATAAGAAGAAATAAAAAAGTTGTTTTGTCGGTTGTTCCAATTGTCCAAATATGTATAGGAATAAATATAATAAATAGTAATCAGTTAACCTCGCATAGCAGTTACGTAAGTTCATATTTTCGAAGATATACATCAACATACAAAAAAGTACACTTAGAACTTGACAAGTTTTACAAGCCCAATTAGTATTATTTAATTTTAAATTATTATGGAAATTCCTTGAGGGACACAACCTGTTAAATTTCATTTTCCATATGCCTGTCGTCGTTTTTCGTACAACAAAGCAATCTATATGTAGAAATCGAAATAAAAGAAGCGATAGCATCGGTAGGGTGAATAGTGAAAAGAAAACGTGAGGTGATATTTGCAAAGGTGAATATCGCGGGTGCAGATGAGCGTATCTGCTGACGAGATCAATACTGAGGTGTACACGGCGCCCGGTACACGGCAAGCTCTAACCCGGTGCCGGCAATACAGCTGGTTGTTTAAAAATCAATCCAGTGTCATATATATTTTTTTTAATTTTATACTTATTGTAATGCCAGTTATATATTCATATAGTCCCCATTACAATAAAAAAATAGGTATAACAGATAAAACACAAGTTACAATGACCTTTATACAAGCTAGCTTAACGAAATTTTATTGGGTCCCAATCCGATTATCGTTTCGCAGTATACTTAATCTATATATATATATATAAAAAGTCGTGTTAGTTACACTATTTATAACTCAAGAACGGCTTTACCGATATGCCTGCAAAATTGGTGAGAAGGTAACTTAGAGCCAGGAGACGGGACGGACATAGGATACTATTTATTCTTTTTTTTTAATTTTTTTTTCGAATTTTAGCCTTGAAGAGCTGCATTTTATTTAACTTACTTAATATATAATGTGATGTGGATGGATGTCAAGATAATTTAGTTATATTATATATACGTGGATATATCCACGCGGACGGAGTTGCGGGCGACAGCTAGTAAAGAATAAATTTAAAAATTTATTGCAGCTATTAAATTGATGTAAGGCAAATATTTATGAGATATTTTGCAGCAATGTAAACTTATAAATTTGAGCGCTGTTGTTTGTCAATAGCAATTTATTTCAAAAATAGTTGCCTCTTTTGAAAGAAGGTTTGGAATGTATATTTTTAAACGGTATCCCTGGGGAATTATGTGTGCGTGACGTATCTATGAATTGTTGCCCGTGCGATAATCCACAACGCAAACAAAATATCAAATAAAAACCGCAAACGAAACCACAAAATAGGTCACACGATTTATATGTTAAAAAACTTATAAAAAAAAAGCATTTAATGGCATTAACTACAGTATATAAAATACTAGCCTTCGCCCGCGACTCCGTCCGCGTGGACACATAAAAAACTTAATTAGTGTAGCCTATGTGTTCTTTCAGACTAGAGATATCTTCAAACACCCGTCCATCCATCTACATCACATCCATCTAAACATTTGCATTTATAATATTAGTAAGTTAAATAAAAAGCAGCTCTCCAAGGCATAAATTAAAAAAAAATTATAAATAGTATCCTATGTCCGTCTACTGGCTCTAAGCTACCTCTTCATCAATTTTCAGCCATTACGGTAAAGCCGTTCTTGAGTTATAAATAGTTTAACTAACACGACTTTATTATATATATATATATATATAGATAAGTAACAATTAAAGTTTACTTGACTTTATATCATTTAAATAACTATTCAATTTGAAACGATTTTCTGAGCAAGGCCAACCCTTATCATAAAATTGTACAATTTTAACAGCATCAATAATAATAAGTCTTTTCATTTTGAATTGCTACTACCCGTATTGTTATAAGTAAATAATATTTTAAAACGTTTAGGTAAAATATTTAAGTAAAAACAAAAGGGTAAAAGTATATAGAACGAGTTTATTTTGCATCGGTTAAGGCACGTTTCAATTTGGTAGTCCAAGAGCACTAGAGAGGGAGGCCAGGTGGAAAGGCAACTTGCAAATAGCATTTACCTTCCCTTGCCGGTTCACCTCTAATGCATGTACACTCCAACACACACGCAAGCTTGCCAAGTCTCTTATACTATATATCGATATTCACAATTCGTAACGTTATAAGGTCAGAACGTCTATACTACGTATAACTTGGCATAAAGCGGGACGTCCCGACGTTGTCTATTTAGGTTCGGCTTTCCTTGTTTCTAATTACCTTAATTAGTGCTGAGCCATTAGTCGGAATTGGCGCTCGCTTTAAATTAGTACAGCTGCTTATTTTTGTATGCGTTAAATGCGAAGTCGTTCAATTTGTAATAAGCAAACTAATTGATCATTTAAATGTTACCATAGCCTTATGAGGTCTACGACCAATAATTTTATTGCGGTAAATTGGCAACATTTAAACATGGATAAATGCTAAGAGTTTGAAAGTATAGTTTGTCTATTGTGTTACAATTGTCTTATAGGATCACAGCTTGTGTTTATCGAGTATCATTTTATCTAGATTTCATAAAAGTATAACACTTTGAAGATCTAATCGCTAACCTAACTATTTCATCTCGATATATCGACAGCTAAGATACTAAACCTTATTATAGTAATTTAATTGCTAAATACGCAGCGCCTGAGAAAGAGGCATTCACAATCAAGGCGTATTAATATTAAGCATAATATTGCGCGAAAACGTCACGTGCGTATAAAATGTAACACGAACTGTTCGTAATTAAACTTGATCGACCAATTTAATAGTAATGAATCTTCAAACACGCGATGGTTTGGATCCTCAATAATTGATTACGTTGGTGAATTAATATTCCCAATGTATATTATGTAATACGTATGTTATTACGGGTTCTCGGCTGCCAAATTATTTTGAATGATTATGAACTATATGAATATGAACTTATTATTGGCGTCTATCAAATTATTGAACGAGGCATTAGTATTACATGCATTGTTAAGAAAAATCGACATGAAGGTGTATCGGCACAACACTAAACCTACTACTATTAAACACGTTCCCTCACTATTGCTGACACTTGACTTTTGGAAAAAAGCGTGACATTTAATACAAAGATTATGAATAAGATTGTATAAATTATTGATATTCGATACTACATCTTTCACTTCAGTTCAAATAATTAAGTTTTTTTCAACCATTGTAAATGTGGTACGTTATTTCGACTAATAAGCTGCAACACTTAGTGGTGTTAAAAGTAATGAGAAAAATAGCCACTGGAAAGTTCCGAATTGTTACAATAGTCATTTAAAAACAAGAGTCGTAGAGCGAGTGGCGCAGCTGGCTGGACTTTCGTGCCGGCTGTAACCAGTTGCCTCGCTCGTTACGACTCGGCCAGCCACATTAGGGGAGCCCTTATCGTGACGTTTCGTACTCTAGCAACTTCTTGTTTATAACGCCGGCGCAGTTGGAGGGTCGTTTAGCAGCGGCGGTTTCTTTCATGTATTTATTTTTCAGTCGGAGTTCATTTTACTTGTTTAATTTTGTCGAATATTCGTTAATGAATGTTTTTAATGTATTCGTTAACTAAAATAACTCCAGACATTAACGTCCGTGTCTTATCTGTAAAAAAATACAATAATTCACAAGCAAAATAATATAAAAACTGTTGTGTATTCTAAAAAAAACATTTCTTCAACATCCTATAATCTTATATCTTTAAATGAGCAATTCTTGTATATGTAATTGGAATCTCGGAATCGGCTCCAACGATTTTAATAAAATTTAGTATATAGGGGGTTTCGGAGGCGATAAATCGATCTAGCTAGGAAACATTTTTATAATAGAAAATGTCATTTTATTCGTGTTTTATTGATAATCAACTTAAACATAAACTTAACTTTTTCTATCGGTAAGATCGAAAAATATTATTCATATTTCATCATTTTATTAGTAATTCGTACTTAAATATAATTTCCAAAAAACACAATTTAAAAAAATACCGTACCGGTCATCCAAGTACTAAAAGTTTAAATTAAGAATACTTATTCCGCTTCATTAATGAACATTAAGTTAAGTGAAATATAAACATAATGACACACATAACACATTTGGGACGATAATTTATTATCTTCA